AATATGTATATTTTGTGAAATGACTACCATAATAACATTAGTTAACACATCTGTCATCACATACCATTACAATTTTTTAATGGTGAGAATAATAAGATCCAATTTTTTCCCCTACAAAATATACAGGTGAAATATGTGGAAAGAGAGATGAGATCATGGGCAACAAAGAGCATGACATTGTGATAAACTAACTCTAAACCCTGTAAAGTACAGAGCATCTGAGATGTCAAGTTTTAACAACGACAAAAATGCTGATCCTTTTTCTGAAAAGCACATTTCTTTTTTCTTGCCTTCTTTTCATGTTCTTATCACTAGAGGGTAAGGCCCAAGAGGAGGAAATCTGTTCTGAGCTTTCCTAACAATAAAAACATATCAAAGAAGGTGGGAATGAATTTGAGAATCACAGGTCAATGATATTTTTGGCATTGCAACTTTAAATTCATCGTGGGAGCTCCCTCCCTGACACCATGTGCCCTGCCCACCCCTTTTTCAGTCCATGGCTCCCTGGCCGCCCACAATTATTCATACAGCCCTGCTGAATGATTTTCTTCCCCCTGCCTGGCATAACAACAAAGCTCAGGAGCAGGAAGGAATGCTGCTTCAAGGCAGGTCAGACAGTGATGTAATTAACAGATCAAGGAGAACTGTTATTTCAGGCGGGCCCATAGAGCAAGAGAAGGGTTGACGTCTTGGGTCATGACATTACCAGCAAATTACAGTCACCACAGCACAAATCTCTAAATCAATTTTTTTTTCTCCAAGTGAATAAAAGCATATGTAAATATTAACCTCTCCTATGAAAGTTGCATATAGAAATTTTAATTAGAAAGAAATTTTAAACAAGTTTGAAAAAGGAATCTCCTCCATCCCACACTAAGTAAAGTTCAGGGTGTGTATTTTTTTTTATGTCTTTGCCAAATAGGTTTCTTAAGGAACCAATAATACAAGAAATAAAGTCAACCCACAAAGAATTGAATTCCATAGATGTTAGGTGCTGGGGACATAGAGGTGATTAAACCCACTCCGCACTTATAAAGAGTAAGCTAGTTGAGGAGGTTGTCAACAGTTAGTTTTTTTTGTTTGTTTGTTTTTTTGTTTTTGTTTTTTAAATATATATTTTATTGATTCTTCACAGAGAGGAAGGGAGAGGGACAGAGAGTTAGAAACATTGATGAGAGAGAAACATTGATCAGCTGCCTCCTGCACACCCCCCAATGGGGATGTGCCCACAACCAAGGTACATGCCCCTGACCAGAATCGAACCTGGGACTCCTCAGTCTGCAGGCCGACGCTCTATCCACTGAGCCAAACCAGTCAGGGCGACAGTTAGTTTTATGTAATCAAACAGAGGACAATTTGTGGATTTATTGCTTCAGCCACAAGTCCAGCAGAGAGAGAAATGAGATGTCTTATTCTATCTTTCCAAAAAAGACAAAAATGCAGTTGACTAAAGGTCTGGGAGTCAAACTCATGATTACAGAGGAATTAGAAACCAATGAGTCCTGGCTTTACAAGTATGTTCTTTTTTTTTTTAAATATATTTTATTGATTTTTTACAGAGAGGAAGGGAGAGAAATAGAGAGTTAGAAACATCGATGAGAGAGAAACATCGATCAGCTGCCTCCCGCACATCTCCTACTGGGGATGTGCCCGCAACCCTGGTACATGCCCTTGACCGGAATCGAACCCGGGACCCTTCAGTCCACAGGCCAACGCTCTATCCACTGAGCCAAACCGGTTTCGGCACAAGTATGTTCTTTAATAGACACTACAAGTCATGTGATCAGGTAGTTCTAGCCATGAATAAGAGAAGTGCATCTCACTTAGGTGGTTGTGCTTTCAATTCAAGGAAGGGATCTGATTGTACATTAGAAGTTTCTCATTCCGTGTTGCAAAAGCATCGGCTACTTTTACTCTCTTTAATGTATTGTTTTCCATTTTTAAATAACTACTACAGTATGACTCATTGGATTTAGAAGTAATAACTGACCAAGTAAATAGCAAATGCCAAAGTCAATAAAAATAAAAGTTAGGCCCTGGCCGGTTTGGCTCGGTGGATAGAGCATCGGCCTGTGGACCAAAGGGTCCTGAATTCGATTCCGGTCAAGGGCACATGCCTGGGTTGCAGGCTCAGTCCCCAGTGGGGGTGTGTGCAAGAGGCAGCCAAGCAATGATTCTCTCATCATTGATGTTTCTATCTCTCTCTCACTCTCCTTTCCTCTCTGAAATCAATAAAAATATTTTTTTTAAAAAAATAAAGTAAAAGTTAGTATAAGACTCCCCCACATATATCTAAAAATGAAAAAAACAAATGAAAATAAAAATAATTAAATAGATGTTGTTATGACTCTTCAAATGACTGAATGCTCAGGTGATATCAGAGAAACCATGGTTGAGATGACAAACATCAAAGTATTTTTCATGCTCAGTTAAACAACATGAATTGAGAACTACCACTCTAGTTCAAAGTCACTTCCAAGCTTATGTGAATTCCTTCAGGCCAGGGGCCATCTTACACATCTTTATATCCTCAGCACCTAGCATACACCTGGCAAACAGTAGGCACTCAGTACTACAGCAGATAAGTGTTCTGAATGTACATGGGAGAAAGAAAATATTAAAGGCCTGGTTCTCATCTCTGTTCACTCCCAGCAATTCAAACACTGAAAATATTGATAATTTCCTGTAGCTAAGGAACTTCTGTCTATGAAGGCAGGCATCCCTGAAAGAAAGTCTGAGCACTCAGGAGCAGTGACTGCAGACACCTACTCAGCACAGCCCAAGGTGGAAAGCGTGGCTTGCCGGGCAGCTTGGCCCCTTTCCCATCTCCAAAATAATCAATTGCACAAAGTAAGTTTAGCCCCAAAACCATTTGGACTTTGTCTCTCCATCAACATCTGGGTTCAGCATGATTCCTGACCTCTACTTCAAACTGGAGATTTCAAACACTGCACACCTCACTTAACAAGAAAGTAATGTCATTAGGCAAGGCCAGGGGCAACACACAAGCCAGAATTAGTAGAAACACTACATAGGAATGATTCTGGTGTCCTTCGAAATGTTTCTAAACATCTAAAATACTGAAACTACTTTTCAGGAAGAAAAAATGTAAATATGCTTTCTCAGATTAAATGTATTCATATTATTAGAGAGAAAGCTAGCTTCCAGGAAGCTAAATGTAGACCTATAAAGACAAAATAAGCTTTTTTTTCTTTCCAGATAGAGCATAACTTCTCTCTCTGCTGTAGAGTTTGACTGAGAAAACTTGGTCATAACCTGGGAGACCCAATAACTAATTTTTTTTTAAAGACATGTCTTTAACTGACCTAGTTTGGAAGCCTGAATGCTTTTAAATTGCCAATGAACTGAAACCATTCATGAGAATGAGGCTTTTGAATGCTGAGAATGTTCTTGGGGCTCAGCACAGAGATATTTGGCATAGATGACTGTAAATATTTGTAAAACTCTGAGTTTAGACAGTGTTTGACCACATTTAAGCCTCACTTCCAGCACAGTAGTAGTGTAGGAGCAAGTTATCTAGGGTGATTGGTTTGGGGGACTTTTGGGTTGAGTTTTTTATTTGTTTGTTTTAAATAAAAAGCCAAGCAACCCAATTCAGCAGCTCAATACTTTTTTACATTCTCTATACAAGTCTGCCGTTTCCTTTAGTCAGAGGCTACTTTTTAAAACAGGTTTCTCTTTTTTTTCCTTTCCTATTGTTCGCAGTTTATGCCACTACAAAGACTAAAATACCAGTCACAGGTGTGCAAGAGGAAGGAGGAGTGGGGAGAAAATGTGGCCTTGGATTTCCTAGTACAATTCTCTCCAAATGGCTTTGTGGCTCTGCTACAGCTATCATTCTTTTCCTCCCTCCCCGCCCCCTTCTCCTCATGAAGATAGGATTGGGAAGGGAGGACAGAGTAAAGAGAAGGAGGAACCAGCAGAGGAATCTGAGGTGAAAAGCACCGGGGATCAAGAGGCTCATCGCAGTGAAAGCTGCAGCAGCCTGATACTCTCATTAGCCAGCAACTCAGTGAAGACTGGCTGGCTTTCTTCTTCCTCTTACCCACACCCTAAAAACTGAGTCATCTCAAAGTTCATTTATTTCGCTTCTGCTTAGACACCCCCAATCTGCTGCTTCAGACATGTTAGATACGTTTTTCTTTCATTCATACCTGGCTCGATTCAAACACACATCCAGAAGTGCCAAGTTAGAAGAAGCGGGAGAGAGTCCTGTTAGGAGCCCCAGCTAATGTTTTGATAAGATCCATGTGCGGCAGAAAGGAGAAAGTGAGTGACTATAGTGGATGCATGAAGACAGAGAACATTTTCCCCGAAAGAATTCATTTCTGAGAGATCTGAATGTGAGAAGTACAGGCATCAGGAGTAGACTTACAGCAGAATCACTGAAACGCACAACAAAAGCAAAAGGTACCCTGGAAAGGGTAAGCTAAAATACCTATTCTCTGCTGAAGCAGCAGGAGCCAGTTTCATTTTAACTTAAATTTGAGCACAGCAGTATAAGATCGGAGTTTCGCTTTGTTTTATCAGCAACTACCTGACAAAACAATCTGCATAATGTATGGCCAAGAACCCATAGATAATATAACAGCTTGTTAATATCTATGTGTGTCAACATATTGCTGTGCATTTCCAAGTAACAGAAGGTAAACAGCTGAGGCTATGCCAACTTTTGGTCTCCCTTTAAGACATGGGGAGGTTTGATCTAACCTTGAATTTTCCAATGCATTCGGTGGACTGTTTTAGTAGTAATTAAACTAGCTTCTTTTTACCTTTACAAAGACATCTATTTTTAAAAAGTTAACAGGTGTTTAAAGGCATTCAGAATGAATTCAATTCTGTATGGTTGACGCACGAGACCCAGGACATAACGCTAAAACCCATGGTATCATAGTTTCTTGCCCTTTTTCCTTTTCTTGGTCCAACACCCCCCCGGGTCTTGGAATGCCTGCAGCTTTTGAAAAGCCAGCTAGACCTACCTGGCCGAAGAGCTCGGGTCCTCCGCCGCCGGGCTTCTCGGCAGCCTCCAGCTCGCACACCCGCACACCGGGGAAGAGGAGCTGTTTCGTTCTCTCCCTCGTCCTCCGGGCTCTGCAGCTGACAGCTTTGCGCTCTGCAGGGCTGTAACAGCACTGGGCTCCCGGACCTGCGGGGCCGGCGGAGGAGGACCTATCACCAAGCGCCTCCTGCCTCGGGAGCTGCGGCGGTGCCCGGGAGCCTTGCAGAGCGTGGGGCGCAGCTCGCCAGCAACAGCAGCAGCAGCAGCAGCGCCAGGAGCCGGGCGTTTATTTATACAGGAAGCTCAGGCGCGGCACTTCCTACTTCCCATCCGAGCCGCACTTCAACTGCAGGTGATGGTCTTAACCCTGTCCGAACCGCCCCCGAGCTGCGGAGCAACCCCGTCTCCCGCCGCTGGCTCCGCTAGACAGGACCTCCCTCCTGTCTTCTGGGACGGCCGCCGCGGAGACCCAGAGCAGGGCGCCCCGTAGCAGCCCCTGGTGTCCTTCATCCTGCCCGGCCATGCCACCTTTGGCCTCCAGAGCTTGCTGCTTCTCTGCTGCATTGGGTCCTCCGCGGGCACCTTTGTCTCCCTCCTTCCCAGCTCTTTAAATGTTTTTCTCCTACTTCCAACAGCCCAGGCCGGCCTTCCCACCTTGCCGGAAAACTGTTTTTAGAAATACTTTCCATGCACATCTCATCAAATATACCTTGTACTTAGTTATTGAAATAGTGTTGACTATATTCCCTAAGCCAGTGATGGAGAACCTATGACACGCGTGTCAGAGGTGACACGCGAACTCATTTTTTTTGGTTGATTTTTCTTTGTTAAATGGCATTTAAATATATAAAATAAATATAAAAAATATAAGTCTTTGTTTTACTATGGTTGCAAATATCAAAAAATTTCTATATGTGACACGGCATCAGAGTTAAGTTAGGGTTTTTCAAAATGCTGACACTCCGAGCTCAAAAGGTTCGCCATCACTGCCTAAGCTGTACTTTACATCCCCATGACTGTTCTGTAACAGTCAATTTGTACCACTAAGCCCTTCACCTTTTTCACCCATCCCCCCCCCCCAACCACCTCCCATCTGGCAACCTTCCACATGTTCCTTGCATCTGAGTCTGTTTCTGTTCTGCTTGTTCGCTTAGTTTGTTTTTTAGATTCAATGGTTGATAGATATGTATTTATTGCCATTTTATTGTGCATATATTTTTTTCTTCTTTTCCTTTAAAGAAGACCCTTTAACACTCCATGTAATACTGGCTGGTGGTGATGAACTCCTTGAAGCTGATTTGTCCTTTTGTGTCGAATGGTAAAATGAAAACGCAGGCAAATGAAATCATGACCGACTTAGTTTACCTCATAAAATACTGGCACACCTTTATGATACAATGATTTTGCTTGAAATGCTTTGTCAACAGATTATGTGGGAACACTTAGTAACCTAACAGCTTGTACTCTCAACCAAAGAAAATGTAACCAAGTGATCTGGAAGCTGTGGGGAACTATGACTGTGCCTTCCTTATTCTGAAACCTTAGACGCTTAATTTGTCGAATGTTTAGAACAGATTATACCCTTGCTCCCCACACCCTCCAGGGGTCAAAATCACAGTCCCAAATCTGTGGCAGTTTAGAAAAACCTTTACTCTGATACAAGAATCATTCTGTGCTCACTCTGCAACCTCCCTCTCCTTTTGCAACTGCACTCAGGAATGTGCTCCCTACAAGGAAGGGACTCTCCAACCCTGGTGGAAGGGAGTGCCCCTGAAGGAAGAGCACGTAGCAAATTGCTTCCCAACTTCCTCCATGCTGAAGAAAACCTCCAGGTCAAAGCCAGGTGCTGAAGAACACAGTGTATCTCTGTGTGCGGTGGTGGGACAGGCGGGAGGACCCGTCCACTAGTGGGGGAGGGAGGGAAAGTGGACAAGGGAAATAAGACAGGAAGAGAATTCACAATGGGGACACAAAGTAATAGAATCAGAGGACATTTGAGTTTGAAAAGTTCTCCTAGCTAGTTTAGTCCAAATGCTTAATTTTAATAATGAGGAAACGGATGTCCAGGGAGATTTAAGTTGTTGGCTTGAACCAGATAAGGAGCAGGGCTAGAATGAGACCAAACCTGTCTTGGATGAAAAAGGTATATGTGAAATGAAAACCACCCCACATATGTCTAACTTCAAATTTAGCAGTAGCGGGTTCTGAGATCACCAACCTCAGGGTACTTTCTTGGTGTAGTGAACATCGTTGAAGGGATCAAGAACGGTAAATAAAGCACCTTCTAAGAGGTAGGTTTATTCATTAGTGTTGATGCCAAAAGTTTGGCACCTTAAACCAAAGTTCAACACAGAGTCCACTTTTGAAATTACCATGCAATTGAGTTATAATCTCTTATCAACAAGGTAAGGGAAGAAGCTGCTGCCAATATGAATGAAAACATAGGTTAAGCAACAATCAGGCTGCCTGTTGTTGTCAATAGCAGGGGGGAAGAAAAAATATACTGTATAATTAAAAGAACATCAGCATTATTATCAAACATGCAAGTTAATAAAAATTGCATTCAACTTTTAGTTGGACTACATAAGCAGGTAGAACACTACAGTATTGTGTGAACAATGCTTTCCTATCCACCTAACGAGCCCGCTATGTGCATCATTCATCCCCTCAAGCATTTTTTTTATCTCCTCCCAGAAAAGCTGCTTAGAAGCTTGGGAAACAAAGATAAGTTGGATCTAGTCCTGTCCTCAGAGAACTCTTAGTCCTGGAAAGGAGTCAGACAAGCAAACCAATTCTCAGTGTATTCTGATGAGTGATATGATAGACTTAGACATGACGTGCCCAGGGAATACAGAGAAAAATAATTTAACTTAAGGAAAGGGATTGATGAATAAAGGAAGGTATCCCTGAGAAAGTAACTTAAAGCTGAGTCCTCAAGTAGCTGATTGGGGAAGGTGGAGAAAGGTGAAGCAGTCAGAGGGAACCGCCAATGCAAAGGCCTAGAGATGTGAGACTTTAGGCGATGCTTTTTGTAATTCAGACAGAATGGGTGCATTCAGAATAAAAGAATGAGGGCATGAAAAAGAAGGGAACAGGTGGAGAGAGATTTCAGAAACAGAATTCATAGGACCTGATAGATCTGACTGGATATGGGAGATAAGGGAGAGGGGAGAGCCCAGGCTGCTGGTGCCACTAATTGAGACTGGGAATAAAATGATGACGATTCCATTGTAATTGTGCAGAATCTGAGGTGCCTGACGGACATTGTGGGAGATTTGTCTAGTAGGCCGGCAGCAGAGAGAGATTGGGGGTAGAGAATCTATTAGAAATGACCATCATTTCGGTGGTAGCCATGGATGAGATGACCAAGAGCTGAAATAAAAAGGTGGCATGCTGTTGAGAGAATCAGAGACTCTGAACCCATACAAACTCTATTCATCATCATATAAGTTTAAACAAGTTTTAACATACCCCAAATTCCGTTTTCTCACCTATAAAATAGGAATGATGATATTCATCTCACAGGTTATTGTGAGGTTAAATGAGAGGTTGTACATTAGCTAGCACAGGGCCGATGGCACCAAGTCTGGAATTGTACAGTACACAACCTGTTCAGCTGTACAGCATGGCCCTGTCCTGCTACACAATAAACTCAATCAATGTTATTCATGTAAGAAGGAAGGAAAAGAAATGGATCATAAAAGAGAACCAAAGGAGTACCAGTATTTAAAAAGCAGCCCTCAAGTATTGGGAATTGCTCCTTTTAGACTGGAATAATAAATGTAACACTTGATATCCCAGACTGAGAAGTAGAGTCCAACCACTGCAATCCATAAAATTGTTTTTTATATTTCTAAGAAATAAGAGACATAATATTACAAATTTTCACCAGAGATTACAGTCACATTAACCATCGTAATAGAGAATAATTTCCTAATCAGAATTACAGACCTTCCTAAAGAAAAGGCAAACAAAATCTTGACATGAATGGTAAGTAATCCAAACTGTAGGAATTGTGTTAACTTGTAATGTACCTAAAGTTATATAGAGCAAAACCAAAATAAATCCAAAGCATACTTAAATTTTTCCCTGCATCTGAGGCAAAACTATACAGAAATATATTTACTAGATTACTAGGAATCTATGTATAAAATACTTATATAATAATATATCCCATAGTAGATAACAGGTAATAGATATATACTGTAAAATGCACTCTAGTCCTACATAAGAAGAGAATCAAGAAGTGAAATTTCTTCTTTGGAAAAGTTTTCTCTTTAACAAAGAAAATTCAAGGTTCATTCTTGTGCTATTAAAACTAACCTTCTAATCTACCTTAATATGTAAGCTATGTAACTTAGATGAGACATCTCAGTTATATCCCATGTTCAAACATAAAAAGTTTTAATGATTTGTTCAGTTTCAAGAAATCAGATGACAGAACACAAGTATTGGGAAACCTGCTCTGCAATAGGTGCAATTCTCTCTTCACTGGAAAAAAATTTAAAGCAAAGGTCATGGTGCTCTGCCACTGACAGTGTGGTGATTTCTCATTTCCAAGCAGCTGCAATTTCATTTGCCTTTTTCTGTCGCATCTTATAGATTCAATTCAGCCTTGATCAAGGGTACTGAGTATAGAACCAAGAGAAAGACACAACACAAAATGAGACTAAGAACATGATACAATAATGTGATAGCAACTATGCCAGAGATATGCTCAGGCTGGCACAGAAGGCAAACTTCATGGAAAGTCAAAATATGACTCAGAAATAATCACCCAGTTACCTCAGACTTGATAACAAACATTTTCGAAAAGCTGGGGATATGTCATTTTGTTCTATTTCTAACATACAAGAGCATCTCCACATCTCACAGAGCAAGTCAAAACCAGCTGGACCCCCACAGGAAAATCCTGACCAGAATACAGTCATGGGCCACACCAGATGTTTTGGTCAACAACAGACCACATAGGTGACTGTGGTCTCATAGATTATAATGGGGCTGAGTTGAAAACAATAAATGAACAAACAAGACAAAGAAACAAACAAAAAATAGACACAGACAACAGTATGAGTGTTAACCAGGGAAAAGGGGTTGGGAGAAGTAGTAAAAGGTAAAGGGGGTGAAATATAAGATAAGGGAAGGAGAATTGACTTTGGTGGTAAAGACACAATGCCATATGCAGATGATGTATTATAGAATGGTAAAATTGAAACCTATAGAATTTTATTA